AAAAAATGAAAAAAAAATTTTTTTTTGATGCATTGCATACATTATGATTTACACAAGATGAAGAAACAAACAAACTAAGGCAATTAAAATATGGAGAGGGGGAAAGAAGAGATTTTTTTTCTGGTTGGTTTAAATTGATAAATTATATACATGTAATAGTAATGATGTAATCCTGGATGGGACGATATGATTGGAGCGCATTTGATTCTTTTTACAAAACAAAGGGATATATATGCAAGAGCCCACTTTACCAAATATCAAGTTCAAAAAGAAAATAAAATTCAAATTTTCGGTTAGCCATCATTATTCACGATTGAAAATCAAAGCAAGCGTACAATTCGAACAAACATGATCAAAAACTCGGAATGGAGGCAAAAAAAAAAAAAATAGAAAAACAGAAAAAGAATATCGGTGATATTAGATTAAATGTTCACATCTCTTTTGTAGATAAGGGAATAAAGAAAAATATTTTTATTTATCATACATATACATACATATATACATGCTTGCATAGAAATATCATTAAAGACAAAAAAAAATCGTATTATTAAGAACCTTATCACGATTTTCTATATAATTAAAATTCTCTGTAAAAAAAAAAAAAGAACCAGTAATTAAATGGTTGCACGTTGGAAAAGGAAAAAAAAACAATCACAATCTCAACCAATTAATTGGGAACAAAGTTGAAACAAAAAAATGATTATTCATGTTAATGCAATAAAAAAAGGAAAAAAATGAAAAGAATGAATGATTTTTCGTACGTCATGTTATGACAAAAAATCATGAGAAACAATGAGAAAACCTTTAAATACCGGGTGAAAAAAATGTGAAAAATCAGGAGGAAGGAACAAAAAAAGGGGGGATGCATTGAACCAAGAACAAAAACTGATTGGGAAGGTGTCGTATTTACAATCAATTTTCATTACACGTGGGTAATATAACAATATTAGCTTGAGAGAAATATTACGCGCAGCAATTGTGATAAAATACGACCTATTTTTTCATTATCATTTTGATAATTGACCATTGTTCCTTATCAATGTTTCCAAAGATTAAACAGAAAAAAAAAAATATTTTGTACACTTTTGAACAGAACAGAAACAGGACTATTGACAAGGACCGGAAGATGATGTCATTGCACATTCATGGTCGTACATCTGCGCCACCACTTGGCTTAAACGAGTCACTATCTGAGAATAAGTTTAGGTCCTTGATTCAACGAATAAAGAAAACCTCAAGGATTTACAAATGAGCGACAATTAGCATAAAATAGAAAACAATATGATTGAAGATTTCAATTCTCTCTCACCTTTTAAGTTAAAAAAAGAATTTTTTTCATGTCTGGGAAGGATTACTTTGTTGGCGTTATAACGATTAAATTTATACTTTTATGAACATGATTTACCAGAAAATCATGTTTTCACATCAGTCAACAAAAAAAAAAAAAAAAAAACTTTTTTTTTAAAAAAAGAAAAAAGTGTTTCGTGGAATGAAAAAAAAAAAAATTTTTGATATTCAATCACCTATTTATAAAGGAAATGGTACCTTCTTTTTTTTCAAATGACCTATAAAATTTTATTTTGGTCTCACAGGATAAATAAATAAATAAGATTAAAAAAAAAAAGTGTTTTTTCCCTCCTTTACCCGCCCACCCACATAAAAATGTTTTTTACAGTGGGTAGTATAAATATATTGTTTTAATTTTAAAAAAAAAAAAACTTAAAAAAGGAAAGAAGAAATTTCTCTCTTAAATTAAGCGAGACATAGCCTCAAATCGTGAGATCCGGTTAGCCAGCAAGCCATGATAGTATCATAGCGTTATAGTTGTTATGGGAGGTCGAAAATAGTAGCGTAGCACCATTGTGATGACCGGTGGGTGATCAAACAAGTGCATCTTTTTCCTTGGAAAGGGCAAGCGCACATCGAAACTAGTTCCAATTGAACACAATGAAACTCCTTTACCAAAAAGATAATCCGAAATTTGTTTAGAAAATTATCAAAGATTATGTTTTTGGGTGGAGAAAGGGGAATCCTAATATTGGAATTAACAATGTATAAAATTCTTTTTTATATTAAACTCGTTTTATTTAAACTGTTTATCACACTAATACTAAATCAATCACATACAAACATTACAATTCCTTTATATAGGTTTTTGAACATCATTAACAAATTTGAGATGGGAGAACTTTCTCAACTTCTTTATCATTTTAATTTTTTGGTCGTTCGTGATATTTCGTAATTCGTAAAACAGGGTGCCTCATGTTCCCTATGCCTGTAAGCACATAAGTTTGAATAAACAAAAAATTTGTTATAAAAAAAAAAAAAGAAAGGAAAGGAAAGGGAAACTTTGCCATATGAGAAGTGGCTCTGTGCGCAACATAGCGTGATCAAGCCAGCACATTCACGTGTCAAGAAACCAAGCCCCCAGCAAATTAGTTTTTGTTTCCGTATTTACGCGTTGTGTGACCATGAATGCATCGGAACCTATCTCGAAAAAAAAAAATTCTTGAAACAATCATCTCAAACACCTATTCTAGAATAAATTAACATGACGGAGCAACAACCTTCCTTCCTATTTTCACCGACCTATATTAATTATGAAAAATCCCTTGAAATATTAAAAAAGGATAAATATTATAAAAATATTTGTTGTTTTCCCATCCCTGAATTAACGAATCGACCAAAGGCAATCCGACAAATACTTTAGGCCATACTAGGTAAGTATTAAAACAATTGTAATCTAAACTTGGATTGAAAATTGTCGAGTGATTGCCTATCTAATGTTTATCCCAATTTTAAAAAATTTAATTAATCTTGGAATCACAAACAAGAGTGATTTCATCTCGTCCCTCTAACATCATTTTTTAAGATGATTCAAAACTTATTTGTTAGGTGTAGATAAACCTTAATATAGTTTGATGCCTTCCAATGTTTTTCTTGTTATTTCTTCCAAAGATGGACTAGAACGTTTAGATTAAGATTACTATGAGATATTTATGATATCACTTCCTGTGATTTGAGGGGGGAAAATTTTTTTTTTTTTTTGTGATTAACAATGTGTATTACCTAATTTGTGTTTAATTAATGTGTGTGTGTGTGAATGCGTGTAAATGTTGAATTGAATAGTACCTAAAAATTTCTCACTTTAATAAAAAAAAAATTACAATGCTGTTCGTTCGAATGTTCAAGACGAAACCATTATGATCCTATTGGTGTCAACCAACTAAATCAAGCTAAAGCGAAAACAATTCCAAGTGACAAGTGGAAGGTGGAAATTTAAGATTTATAATTTTGCCGAATTTTTATTTGTAAGAATAAAAAAAAGAATCTTCACCTACCACAAACACAAGGGAAACACTAACTCAAAATTTCTAAATGCCACGGTGTTCGGCTTTTAGATACCTTTTTTTCTTTTTCCTCTTGAAACAATAAATAATAAACAACATGAAGATCAAATTTCCCTATTATCAAACCGTTTTTTACTTTAATAAAAATAAATATATATGTGACTTTATTGTTTACAAGATCTTCAATCACACTTCCTTTTTGTGTTCAAATCCATCCAAAGAACTAAAAAAAAAATGCTGCATTTACCCCGCTCTACTAATTTGAGTTTAATTTGCTTGCCACATATATATACTTTTGCAAATTTTTTTTTTTTTTTTTTTTCCAAAATTTTTTTTTATTATTGTAAAGAATTTTTAATTATTTTTTAAACTAAACATAAAAAAAAAAAATTTTTTTTTTTTTTTTGTGTATTCATTCGAATTTGTCGTGTTTTTTTTTTCCTTATAACACATCCCTCTAAATTATGATGATATTCTCGAACTAAAATAACTAAAAGACATAAACTAGAAATCATCCACACGGCTGAATACAGAGGAGCTTCACTATGATAAAGCACTATTAGAAAAGTACGGCACACCAACATAACAACACGACACACCCGACTCGACAACTATTATATATTAGCCTGAATGTATAATTTATAGTGACGGAAAATTTTTTTTTTTCTTCGGTTTATCTACTACCCTTTTTTTTTTCTTTTTTTTTTTCTTTTTTTTTATTTTTTACCTTCTCCATTCTCTCCAAAAAATTTTTTTCTTTATCGTTCTCATTCCTCTTATTTTCCTTTTTTTTTTTTTTCTTATTTATTTATTCTCTTTCGCTTTTCTTTTATTATCCTTTTTTTTTTTCTGCTTTCGTGGCGTTTCTGTTTACAAAGGTTGTTGAAGTCGAGGAAATAAAAAAAAAATTAAAAAGTGCAAAAAGTTGTAGGTCCCTTTTACAAAGGTGCATTATTCTTTCTTGCCTTACTATTATTACCTATTCATACACGTACACATTCGTCACAAACAAATAATCACCACTTTCGCTACGACGTATTACCCTCAGCTTTTGTTGATATTTTTATGTGATAAACAAATAGCGGGGACCTGTAAATTTAGACTTTACCCACCTTTTTTTCATTTTGTCTGGTGTACATTCTTTCCAACCCCAACCTCTGAACTTTTATCTCCTTGATACCTACTCCTTTCTTTTTTCCCTGCATCTGTGAAAATAAATCGCCTTACATTGTGGATTTTCCAACATTAAAATAATTCTGCAGTCCACAAAAAAAAAAAAATTAAAACCAAAGAGAACTGTATAAACACCTTTATAGAAGATAGGAAAGATAATAAAAATAATATATTCTTCTTTCTTGCCAAAAAAGATTATAAAACCTACTCGGTTGGGTTATTATAAAAAGAGGCAACCAAGAATTTATATCATTATTATTATTTTTTTTTTTATAAAATATCTCCATAGAAAAAAAAAATCTTTTTGTATATTCCCTGTTTGTTGGTTAGTGTTTGTATTTAAAGGAAAAAAAAAAAAAAACACAAAGAAACGAATAATAACTTCCTCGAAGGTTAAGTAATATAGCAATATAAACAAGAAAAAAAAAATTTATTAATATTAATTTGAGGTTGATCATGGAATTTTCAAAAGACCCCATGCCAAGAGAACGTCCTATCGTTAGACGCTCGCTTAGAATACAACGACGTGACGATAAGAGAAAGTGTGAAGAACTGGAACGAAAGGCTCTTGAAGAAATAAAAGCTCAAACTCATGTGCCGAAAAGACTCACAAAACAACCTATAAGGCGTGCCAGATCAAGTAGTACCTTATCGCATTCGTCGTCGAAAAAGAAAAAAGTTTATCATGATCTCGCACAGATGAGTCCTACAAGTCGGCTGTTGAGTATCCCGTTGGATATGCTGTTATATCTTTTGGAATTCCTTGGTGTGTATTATTCTTATTATTATTATTATTATTATTTTGAGGGTTTTTAACATTTCAATGTTGTAAATTTGTTTTATTCTCTTATTTACTAATTTTATTCATCGTCTCCATTTTGACATCTTCACGATTTATCAGATGGTAAGTTAATCCTTTCGATTTTATGATTGTAACTTTCTTTTGATTTCACATGATGTTAACACGTAAACTCCAACCTCCCGACACTTTCAGGACCCTCATTAGCTGCAATGGAGCAAGTGTCAAAATCATTTTATCATATGATACGTGGACAACATAGCCCGTATAGATTCTTGTATGATAAGCTGTTGGCTACGTATTGTCCGATTGATGAGTGTGCTATGGATATTGGCGAACAAGTTGAAAGGGCCATACATGCCCCCGTTTTACCAAAGATCAGGCAATCTGTGGTCAAGCAGGAATCGAGAGAATTCAAAGTATCTGATTGGAAGGTAGGTTGAATTTATTAATGCTGTCGTTCGGAGATTCCTTGATCATATGTGCTAACCTTTATACATTGTGTAAATGTTCCTGATAAAATTAGGTTCAGGTAATTAATCACGTTTATGCGTCCTTCATCTGATTCTACACGATTGTATGTATGCTCACCTCCCATTTACAACCTTTCTCATCTAGTTTGTCGAATCTTACAAGTATTACGTGACGGAAGTATGCACTGTCTGTGGTGAATCGGGTGATCCCATTCCTATATGGGAGGTTCGCTTGTGTAGATTCTGCGTTGTCAGACAATTGATTAACAAGAGCGCTCTATACGCATTCACCTTGTCCCCCAAGGAGATTGAAGTACTCAAGGTAAAGTTTGGTCCAAAGACATTGTGATTCGTGGTGTAAACTTGTGGTAACCAACTGTTCTTTTTCTTTACTCAACCAGCCATGGAAAACTTATGTGTATGATCTTGGCATGAGTTGTACGTTTTACCTTCGAAATCATCTTGATCATTTAAGACGACAAAAATATTCTGACCCACAATGCGACTTGGACCTTGATGTGAAGCAGCGTCAATCCGAGAAATTTGCAAAGGAGAACGTTAAACGCAAGAGAAAACAGAGGGAGCAAGATGAGTCTTATTCTGAAAGGATGCGGTCGGTTCTCCAATGCTTTAGTGATTGGAAGTTAAAAGCGGAACTATCGATCATGGAAGAGTGGTGGTTCCCCAAGGAACTTAAATTAGAAATTCACGAGGTAATTAATTGATGACAATGAGATCACCTGTTTGCCGTTGTCTTACTAAACTTTGAACATATACACGATTTTATTTGGTTTAGTATATTTCTAACAAGACAAATAATAGCTTGGCGCGAAAACGACTTCGCCTGTCCATTGAGCAAGAATCCAATAATGGTGATGATAGCTCTACACCTTCGACGCCGTCCAACTCTCAATCGAAAAGTAAATCCCTTCGAAAGAATTTGGAAGATATCATGTTTGAATTACAAACCGTTGTGGTGCCAAGGGTGAATAGATTGGTGGAATTAAATACTCTTTTATCAGCCGACATTGCCATCGAAAAATTACGTATGGATTTAGATTTAAAGACCAGGCGAATATACGACGATTTTGTGCTCGGAGGGGGGATGATATCGAGTCCATCTTCAACTCCATCGGAATGTCAGTTGACAGTGGATCGAACACACAAAGAAATTTTGTCATATTTCGAGAGGGAGGAAATTTTTAAAAAATCGCTAACTCAAGCATGGTTGAATATTAATCACAACGAATTCATGCTATCTGAACTAGATCATCAAAGATTTTTACGGGATGCGAAGGAATGGTGGGCGAGACGAGGAAAGAAACCTCCGCCTGAAAAATGTGGGGAGTTATACCTGGCTCGTGTTCATAAGAGGCAGATTTGGTTAAAGAATGACATGTCCTTAACAAGAACCCAAGAACATTGGAGGCGTCAGTTATTAGAAAGGAAATTAAAAGAAAAGATTGATTGGTATTTCACAGATTTACCAAGACATATAAAAAGCCTGAGTGAGATTTACGAGTCTAATCTGGAACAGAGAATGAAGAATAGTGAAACCTTTTGGATGAAGGTATGTTACCAAAAGATTCGATCGATTTAGTCGCATTGACATTGAATACTTACACCTTTTTACTGTATTAGGGGTTATCATCACATCATAATATGAGAGAACCATCAGAAAAGTTGAAGCAGATGTACTGTGATTATGAAGATTTCATAAAGAATTGCAACGGATTTTGCTCAACCGATGACGGTTATTGCGGTTGCTTGGAATGTATGTATCGATTTAAATGTTTTGACACGATTGTTTCTTGATTAAAAACCATCCCGAATCATTTACTCATTCATTTATTTATTTTTTTTTTTTTAAAAAAAAAAATAATTAGATGCCGCCAAGGATATAATTCGCGCAAACACGATACTGAGACGCAAGGAGTGGATGGATGCTGAATTGAGATGTTATAAGGAGATTGATTTTCACGACCCTGATCTCTTGTTGTGTCCCGAAGCTAAGGATGAGTATCATTATGCCGCAAGAAGTAAGGGTTCATTACACGTTCTTCGATTCGTTGATGGGTCAATATATCTGACCACGAGTTTCTTTTCTCATTAGACATTTCGGTTCCAAAAAGGGCCGCGGTATTGTATATTGCACGTGCCGAATCATTCATGCAAAAGTTGCGTAATGAAGTCAAGACATTTGCACCAGAATTAATAACCTCCGAAGCGCGAGAATGGTACAGGCGTTGCCTCGGAACCATTTCGGATTTCTTCGATCCACCGAGACGTCCGTGTTCTTGGACCGCTCTCGCCACCAATTGTTTTTATTATGAAGTCAACTGCAACCCTGCCAATAGGCCCAGCATCGAATATACGATTGAGAAAATTAAAGAGTGCGAGCGAATCAGGTTAAAACGACTGGGAGAAGCTGATCGTGCCGCGAGAGAAGCAAAACTGAGCCTAACGTTTTGGAATAAGGCAATGGTTAAACGACCGGTGGATGGTGTGTCGTTCCAAACTCGGGTTAGATGGATAGCCACAAATGGATGGTTTTCATTGAATCAATTAGCTCAGGCTTGGGTTTACGACGAAGACCGTGCTCCGTTGAGTCATCTTGAACCTTACATCAAGGAAAGGGTTAAGCAGATGGAAAAAGATAAACGAAAGGAAGATATTTCTTTAAGGTAATTAGTGATTTTCTTTATTTTTCTTTCTTGTTCTCGCGTCACACCATCCATATACATGTAACTAAATCGATGCGCATTGTGGATATACAGAATCAAGGATGATCCGGAATACCAAGCGATATTTAGGGAAATTGATGAGGATGCCGATTTCTTTTTACGTTCGACCTATGAAATCACAACCATTTATAAGGTACACATGAGATGCTTGCATGGTTTATTTTTGATGATTTGAACAACGAGCTAAATGATAATTTTAATCCGTTTTAGGTTTCGAATTTATATAAGGCTCACGTTGAGGATGTTAAGTCCGGTATTGATCCCGCAAAGGTCGTTCGGCAAGTCATTGGTCTCATCAGGGATGTTAAGACCGGCGTGATAAGCAAAAGTAGCTTGTTCGTTGCAGATCGTGAGAGGTTCGATGAAGAGGAGGATGATGACGATGATGATAATGTAATTGTAGGAAATAATAATAGATTTATTATTGCTATTGGAAATAATAATAGCAATAACAATAATGGAGTCAATAATAATAATAATAATAATAATAATGTCGTAGTAGCCACAAATACCACCACCACAACCATGGCTGCAACATCTGCTAATGTAACGACGGTTGGACAAGTCGTTACAAGCGGTAGTGGTTCGGCATCGTCATAATTTGGATTACATTTGTATTATTACTACTATTTTGATAATAGGTTTTTATGGACTTATGGGGATAATTGGTTAATTCTTATTTTGTACAATTTGTGAATTTGTAATTATCGCTAATTTCTTTTTCTCTACAAGTGCTTTTTTTTTATCTTTCTTTCTTTTTTTTTTTTTAATATAAAAAAAGAAAAAAAGAAAAAGAAAAGAAAAAAAATTTTTTTCGAACATTTATTTCTTTTAACCTTTTTTTTTTTTCTTTAAAAAAAAAAAAAACTTCATAAAAAAACTCCTTCACATAATCCTTATCTTTGCTTGGGATCATTTTTTTTTTATAGAAAGTTCAGTAAAGATTTTTCTATGTATTGATTTCTTTCTTTTTTTTCTTATGTACTATTTGTAAACAACTTTTTTTTTTCTTCCTTACTACTACTATGCAAAATCTGTTTTCTAATTCTTTTTTTTTTTTTTTTTTTAAAAAAAAAAAAATTTGAATAAATAAAATTAAATAATAAAAAAAAAAAGGATATAAAATTATATAAATAACTATGCTAAGATGAATAATATCATTGAGAAAAATATAATGTTTTCAAATGAAAGATTGTCATTGTTAAATTAATTTGATTGGACGATAAAATAAATTTTTTTTTTTAAATTTTATTTCACCATCGTTTATACCACGACATAATGTCGTCGGCCGTCAAACGAATTTCCAGACAAGTACTTTGTCATTTAAAAAAAACCTACAAACCCTCAGATTTCAAACCAACTTTTATATATAGGAATATATGGGGACGTAAGAGATATATGCACCCAAAAGTATCCTCACGTAAATTGGCCGACATGAGGAAAAATGCTGAATATTTAGGTATGGATCCGAAAGAGATGGGACTTCCACCAAAGAAAGAAAAGAAGCCTCCTAGAACAAAACCTCCCAAAGGTGCTAAGCATGAAAGGAACGCCCCAGAGAGGTAAAGAACGTTTTTCCGGGAAAAAATAAATATAATTTTATTTTATTTTTAAATTTCACATTATCTCGAATTACTTTAGGAAAGCGAAAATTCAGAAAGCTTTGGAAGAGATGCCAACAGTTATCGAAAATTGGAGAATGGTAAGGAGTTAACCGTACCGTATTTCAATACATATTACATCCAATTTACTTTAATTTATTTTAATAGGAAAAAATCAAAGAAAAGAAAAAGAACAAGCCTTCATTGCCTTTTTAATAATATCTTATTTTACTTTATATTTAAAATTGCTTTTTTTTTTTTTTTTCTGGGTGGATATTTTCACGTTACGAAATACATAAGATTAAATTGAATAATTACAAATATAATTTAATTAATTCATCGCTAACACCGGATGGAGTTAACACACCCAAATCAGTACACAACAATGTAATGTAATCCGGGGGAGTATAATCCACGGTCGGATTACTGGCCTAATATTAAAATATCAATCTCAATTAAATATTACGAAAGTCAATTACGACACGCTATAACTGTAACTAATGAATTACCTCAAAATTTTCAACGTCATCATCCTCAGATTCATCATTATTGGAGAGATAACGAGGAGATTCCAAATCCGGAAACGTCAGTAAATCAGGAGTGTGCGTTGGAAGGTCATATTGATTAAGTGGAAATAAACGAACGAACTTGTAACTGGAAAAAATAATGATTTGATTTAAGAATATCGTGTGAGTTTAAAAAAAGTAAAATAAGATGCTTGACTACCTCTCGATTACAGCATACAATGGTTTGTTGGCAGCTTTAGCAACGACAGCAACTTGATAAGTTCCAATCTAAATGATATGATTTATTAATATAGAGGATAAAATGGAGATAAAAATTTTGAAATCCATAATACCGCATTGATTAAACCACCATTCTCCACAACACCTTCAGCACCAACGAACACCGCATCAACTTTATCAATAATATAACCAACAGCTGTATCAAGTATGACAGTAGCAGGGATACCAGCTTTACGTAATATTTTTGTTGACTGAACCCTATTGAATAATTAATTATAATTAATCAATTTTAAATGCCTCAGCACGTGTATTTTACTTTTTCTCACCCTAATGATGTTGGCCTCGATTCTGTCACATAGACTTTAAATCGTTTCTTGCGGGCAGCCGCTTGTTGAAGAAGCAACATCACCACACGAGAATACGAATGAATCAGTATTGTCTACAATTTGTCCAAAGTACTTTAAATTAATTGAAATTAATTGAAAATCTTTTACTTTATCTTTAAATATAAATTTGAATTAGAAACTTACTGCGTCATCTTTAATAAATTGTACACCTATCTCGGCAATTTTATGTCTAACCGCTGTAGCCTTTTCGACCAACACCTTTCCACTATTTATCAAATGTACTTTGCAAGCTTCAAAATTCTAATTTCATGTAAAAAAAATAAAATAAAATCATAAATTTAAAGAATGTAAAACATAACACGAGACGATCCTAATGTGATCACGTACCGTTACATCATGAGAAGTCCTCGTAACGAATCTCAAGAATAGATCAGCACCTGCCGATAATGAAATTGAATTTCTTACAGAAGATTTAAGTTTTTGACTTGCATCCTTGAGAGATTCCATGAATTCTGATAAAGTCGTTGCTAAATTCACGTGTATTCAAGTGAGTGAGGTGCGATATTTGATTAATTGAAAGATAGACAATAATAACTCTTTCATCATCTACCTTTACTATGCTTTATTAATTCAACCAACGATTCTATTGCCGCGATGGGCATCGACATATCCTGTTACATTCACAGCACCCAATTTAGATAATCACCGATAAAAATGAAATTAAAAATCAATTTCTTTCGTGATTAAAAACCGAATTCATAAAAAAGATAAAAAGACGTACGGGGCTATCCTTCAAAAATTTCTGATAGCACGTGACAATATCGAATTGCTCGGTGTCATTAATTGATAACTCTATTAAACGACAATCAATTAGCTAATTCTCCTTTCATTAAGTTCAAGTTTTAAATTATTTAATTACCTTCGCTCATTTTTTAAGTAATTACACGATTTATTGGAGGTTTACGAAAAAGTTTAAACAAAAATTCAGTAAAAAAATTATTTATGTAAATATAAAGGGTGGGTTTGTGCCTTTTTTTTTTTAAAAAAAATAATTAAATTAATATTTTGACTAAAAAAAAAATAACTTTTCTTTACAAATTTTCGAATTAAAAGACGTAAATATCTAAAAAAAAAAAATTTATTTTATAGAAAGATAATATATTCGGTAAATTGACCAAATGTCGCACGAGCCACGAGTCACGAGTAGCATTAACATCGATCATCTCGAAATCAACGTTTAAATTTATTATGGATTCTCAAGAAACCCCCGTTTCTAATGCCTCCTTCGATATCTCAAAATTAATTGACACAATAGACTTTGCTGCTAAGAAACACTCGTTTCAGAAACGTAATGATCCTCAAGGAACACGTAAGTTAATTATTTTTTCGTGTGGCGGTTTTCGCGAAAATTAACACGGATTTATTTTATTTTTATGTGGTGAAAACTTAGCTTATATCAATCATCCGATTGGTGTGGCCAAAAATCTTACCGATGCTGGAATCTATGACTTTGCAACTATACAGGCCGCGATATTGGTAGATTTTTAAATGGTATTTAAAGATTTCACGTATTCAACTCTATTAACTTTTCCTAAAAATTAAGCACGATACGGTAGAGGATACGGATACGTCTTTTGAAGAGGTTATAATCTATATTATTAAGTTTTAAATATTATCATGATCATTAATTTTTTTGTTTCATTTACATAACAGATCGAACAGCAATTCGGACGGGAGGTTAGAGATATTGTAGCGGAATGTACTGATGATAAAACCTTGGTGAAATCTGAACGTAAACGATTACAAATTGAAACTACTCCACATAAATCTAAAAAGGTATGTGATACATTCCTGTTGATAACGATGAATGAAAGTTGGAAATGTAGTTTTGAATCTTATATTTTATAGGCGAAGGAAGTGAAATTAGCTGATAAGCTGTATAACCTTAGAGATGTGCAAAGAATGGCACCCGTAGGATGGTCAAAAAATAGAATTCAAGGTACTTATCACGATTCATTATATCTTTTTTTCATTCATTTATTAACCAACTTATTTATTTTTTAAAAGAATACTTTATATGGGCTAAGCAAGTAACAGATGGTAAGTAATTATACGATGCAAATTCTTAAAATCCAAATTTTTTTTTTTTTTTAAAGATTAAATTTGCTTTGTAGGTGCAAGAGGAACTAATCAAAAATTGGAAGACCAATTGGATGAAATATATTCAAATGGTACTTTTGTATATGAAGGTGAAAAATATAAAAGTCATCCAGAATCATAAAACATTGATGGGTGC